CTTAAATTAATATTTACAGCTTTCATGTCTTAAATTAATATTTACAGGTTTCATTCCTGCAAACAAAAGGAGCAGCGTGATAAATGTCTCTGAAACTAGTTTCAAATCAGAAGTGAATCAGCTCGGTTTAAAGCACAAACCAGTTTAGGGACAGTTTGAAGTTCAAATACATTTGAAGTAAAGACGGTTTAAAGGTTTCTATGGATCCAGCTATAGAAGAGATCAGAGGAGACTCAACAACAGACAAATCAGCAGCTCGTTTTAAAGCAAACATCTAAATGTTTCCCTCAGACACTGAGTCATGAATCAAAGAGCTTCTCATACTCACGGCTGATGACAGATCTTCTCAGCTCCATCAGATCCTCGCATGGCTTTTATAACCAGACACAAAGATTCCTGGGCTGGCTCTCCAGACTGGTTCTCCAGGGATCAGGACTTGGCAGGTTCAAGCAGGATCAGAGCTGAAGGTTTCTGCTGAAAGAAACATTTGAACTGATGGTTCTGGACATGAGCCTCTGGCACTGAGGATCATTAGGGCCTGCTGGTCTGGTCCATATGAGATGTTCTGGTCTCCTGTGTTCCTTTTCAGAATCAGAATCAACTTTTTTGTCATTGCACAGTTAAGTGCAGAGACATTTCATTCCATACAACCGTCTGAAGGGTAGACGTATGAGCGCTGCCCTTATCGCTTAGACAAGAAGAGGGGAAGAAAACATGAGGAGAGAAGGTATAAACCAAAGACCTCACATCGTGTCCTTCACACAGAGCACAGTGTAAGGTAGCAAAAAAATAGAAACTCTTTACTAACACTGTGTTCACCTCCCTGGGGAGGTGCTTCAGGCATGTTCAACTGGAAAGAGATCCCAGTGAAGACCCAGGACGTACTGGAGAAAATACATCTCTTGGGTGGACTGGGAACACCTTGGATTCCTCCCAGAAGAGCTGGAAGAGGTGGCTGTGGACCTCTCTGCTCAAGATGCTGCTCCAAGACCTGAGTCCAGAACAAGATGGTGGATGGATGGATGGATGGATGGATGGATGGATGGATGGATGGATGGCCAGACACAGGAACACAAAGACAGAAACATCATCAAACACCAACAAAAAAGGTTGAATCATGTCATCTGGACTTCGTTTTTTGTTAAAAAGAAACGTTTCGCCCCTCATCCAAGAGGCTTCGTCGGTCTGAGGCCTAGCCATCTGGTATTACCCAGAAGCCACCCTGACTCTTGTGTTTCAAGCCTGCCTCAGATACCCCTGAAGTCTGGCCTTTTCACTAATGGTTTCAAAAACACAAAGTTTGTTTTCTCAGTCATCCAGGTATCATACCTGGATGACTGAGAAAACAAACTTTGTGTTTTTGAAATCATCAAACACCCTCCATGGTGCCAGATCATCGATAATCTGACGTAAATAAAAGTTTCTGATTACAATTTTTTTAAACTTCTACAAAGTCACAAAACTGTATTTTTTTTTTAATAAAAGCTTAATTCCATCAAAGTTGGATATTAACAATAACGTTCTACAACATTAACAGGATTCACGACGACCTGCATCATAAGAGTTGTTTTAAAACTGTTTTTTATTTTTCTTTCTGCAGATGTTTTACTCACTGAGTAAAGAATAAAGTTTGTTTTTTATCTTCTCTGGTGTAGCTCAGCTCACCTTTGAGCTCAAATCATCTCTGGTTGCCTAGCAACAGATGAACTGGTTAAACGGCGACGCCTCCGATGCTTTAAGTGTTTCTGAGCGGAGGCGTCGGGGTGGAGACGCCGCAGCTCCTGCTTCCTTCAGACGGTAAAACAACTCTTGTCTTTCTGCTCAGAGACAAACTGGGCGCGGTTCAGACGGACTCAGCTGGTCCAGGATTCAGCTGGTCCAGGACTCAGCTGGTCCAGGATTCAGCTGGTCCAGGACTCAGCTGGTCCAGGACTCAGCTGGTCCAGGACTCAGCTGGTCCAGGACTCAGCTGGTCCAGGATTCAGCTGGTCCAGGATTCAGCTGGTACAGGATTCAGCTGGTCCAGGATTCAGCTGGTCCAGGATTCAGCTGGTCCAGGATTCAGCTGGTCCAGGACTCAGCTGGTCCAGGTCACTGATAAAACCTAAAGACTAGAAAAGAACTTACAGATCTTTAAAAGCTTGTTTGAGATATTTAACAGATGACCGATCAGCTCAAACCTCGAACCTCTGGACTTAATGACTTCAGATAATCAATAATAATCAATAAGTGGCTTTTTTTAATGTGGGAATGAAGTTAGGATTACTTCACCGAGGTGTTTCAGTTAAACAAACTTAAATATTTTGTTTAAGTGCATTTATTCCTTTTTAATAAAACAAATGTTAAACTGGAGATCAGTGATGTATTGATTGATAGATTGAAAATAAGTAAAACATGCACAGTTCAAAGAGATCAGTAAGGTGGTGCACGATGTTTGGGATCGTGAATCAACTTGTTCTAAATCACAGTTTATGAAACTTATGGATCTGATACAATTTAAAACTGAACAGGTGACGTTCAAAACTAAAAATAATATTCTTCCAAAGAATATTCAGAGCGTATTTAAGAATAGAGAGGGGAGGTTCGAACTGAGAGGAAAATGTAATTGAAAGCATCCCCGTGTTAAAAGCACGTGCACGTCGACTCGTGAGGGGATTCTGTGGAATGGATTAGATGAAGAGATTAAATTAAATAAAACTGTTGCACAACTCAAGAAAAAATACAAAGATTACAAAATGAATGTGTGTGAAAATGAATGAGACAAAATGATTTTACTCCAGCTGTTAATCTGTTAATCTGTTAATCTGTTAATCTGTGTGTTTGATCTGCAGGTAATTGATGTATGTGTGTGTGTAGCGATGCATGTGTGCGTGTTATAGAAACGTGCATTTATTAATTCAGACTCTGTATGTAAACTTATGGTTCTTCCTGCTCCTTTTCAAACAGTTTTGTTTTTGTTTACAGAATATTTTGCTGCAAATGTTTACATTTTTATTTATGTTTTTTGTTTTGTTGAAATTTAACTGTTTGAAATCTTCTACTTCTTCTTCAGGGGTCTCCATCTCGCTCTGTCCTCTGTGTCCTCTGTCCTCACTCCAACTACCTCCATGTCCTCTCTAACTGCATCATGTGTCTCCTCTTTGTCTTTTTCCTGCAGCTGCATTTCTAACATCCTTCTACCAATATACCCACTGTCCCTCCTCTGGACATGTCCAAACCACTGTCCATCCTCTGGACATGTCCAAACCACTGTCCATCCTCTGGACATGTCCAAACCACTGCATCCTCTGGACATGTCCAAACCACTGTCCCTCCTCTGGACATGTCCAAACCATCTCAGTGTGTCCTCTCTAACTTTATCTCCCAGTTGTTCAACCTGTGCTGAACCTCTGATGATCTCATTCCTGATCTTCTCCATCCTTGTCTCTCCTAAGGAGAACCTCAACATCTTCATTTCTGCCACGTTCAGTTCTGTCTCCTGTCTTTTTGTCCATGTCTCTGTCTCCTGTCTTTTTGTCCATGTCTCTGTCTCCAGACCATACAACATAGCTGGTCTCACCACTGTCTTGTAAACTTTTCCTTTGATCTTTGCTGACACCGTTTTGTCTCAAATCACTCCTGAGACTTTTCTCCATCACTCCATCCTGTCTGGACTCTCTTCTTCTCCTCTTCACCACACTCCCCATGTTCCTAGACAGTGGACCCCAAGTCCTTGAAGTCCTGCTCCTTTGTGACCTCTGAGTGGGACCATTGGACCCATTGACCCTGAGTGGGACCAGTGGACCCATTGGCCCTGAG